TTTTTTTATAGGAAAAATACCAACGTGAGCAGGAGAAACTAAGGGAAGAGTGGCAAAGAGCTCAGCAGGAGGCTGAGAGAGAGAATGACAAGTTCTTGAATGAGGTAATGTTAGAACGTGTTCTTCCTTCTCTGTCTTGATGAAATCTGCTGAAAAATGGAAGACTGTCCATTTCACTTGGCTTTTGTCATACACTCGCCAATGTATCTCTTTGAAAAATATAATGAGCTCTGATTTATCAGAACTTTGCTTTGATGTTTCAACATTTCTCCTAGTTTCTCTACTCAATAATTAAATTATTTTATCTACAGACTCTAAGTGTATCTTCTTCTTCTAAGTTACATCTCCATCACCCACGTGTGGCTTTGTTAGTGATAAAATTTAACATCATTTCAATAGAATTCTGGGCCAACTACAATAGATATAATAAAAAACTGAATATAGACATATCTTAATCAAATTTCACCCCCTGGTTGTGCAGGAGCTGATGGTCCTGAACTCAAACATCACAGCTCTGACCACACGGGAGCCTACTGTTGCCACCTTGGAAGCCACCTGGGATGAAGGGTCCAAGTCTTCTGACAGGGAAGGAACCCGAGCAGGAGAAGAGGGGAGGAGACAGTGGCACGAGGAAGGGATGATTGAGGACCAAAGAAAGAAGCTGCAGGAACAACTTACTATTGAGAAAGAGAGGGAACTGAAGGAGCAACAATATGAGGAAGAGCAGGAGGAGATGCGGCGCCAGGCTGAGGCTGAGGAGCAGAAGCGCTACGCAGAAGAACAGAAGCGCCAGGCCGAGGAGCAGAAGCGCCAGGCAGAGGAAGAACAGAAGCGCCAGGCCGAGGAGCAGAAGCGCCAGGCTGAGGAGCAGATGCGCCAGGCAGAGGAGCAGATGCGCCAGGCAGAGGAGCAGAAGCGTCGCACAGAAGAACAGATGCACCAGGCAGAGAGAGAGAGGGAAACGTCAGTCCGAATATACCAGTATAGAAGGTCTGTTCCCTTGCCAATGGGTACATGTGATTTTCAATTGGCTTGGCTTAGCTGTATCCATTCCTCACTTCGAAGGCACCTAATTGGTTTTCCTGCTCCCTACCATCCATTCTCTACACAAGTGAACACAAGCAGCCAGAGTGAACCCATCCCGTTGTAAATCTGAACCTATCACCTTACTTTCCTGCTCAGTGTCTCCAAATGGCTTCCCTCACATTAGAATACCACCTGCACTCCTCCCCGGGGCCTTAGAAGGCTTGTATGAAGTGTCTTGGCCCTTTGGTCTATCTACCTTCCTCTGACTTTCCCTCACTTGGTGTGTCATAGCTGCACTATCATCCCTTTCCTATCTGGAAAATGCACAACATATTCTGCCCCTTGGATTTTTGCATTTTCTAGTTCCTGTGCCTGGAGAAGTGTTCCCTCACGTGTGTTTTGTCTCACTCATTTTGTTTAAGTCTCTGATGCAATGTCACCTTCTCAGACTTTCTAAAATGCTTCATCTAAGAAACATGGCTCTCCCTACCCCTTTCCTCCATGTGCCCTTCTCTGCTTTATAATATGCATTTATTTGCTTGTGGTTGGCCTGCATGCCCCTTTAAAATGTAAGCATTAGGAGGCCAATAAGTTTGTTTTGTTTCCCTAGAACCCTACTGGGTCATAGCAAGCACACAGCATGTATTTGTGGAATGAATTGCAAATGTCTGTTGGTAGCTGTAGGTGTGTTTTCTTCAATGATTGATTGAAATACTTCTGTGTGTTTAGTTTTCAAACAAGAGAGCATTCTCATACAGGTGCTAGAATAACATAATTTTGTTATCTATTTCTTAAACCCAGGGAAGGCATCAAAGCTTTATTTTTATCATAAACCTTTTCCATCTTTCAGGCCTGTTGATTCCTATGATATACCAAAGGGAGAGGAAGAATCTTCAGGTTTGCTTCCTAGTGACAGGTGTGTAGAACATTTCATTGTAATTTGGTAGGAGTAATTGACTTCATATGAATTTCTGAGGGCTTGCCTAGGTGTTTTTGTAGAACTACTATAGCTCTTGATCTGTTGTGGGATGCAAAGAGAACTTGCTGGTTGATATGTAAAACTACCCCTCAACTTAGTAACTTAATTTATGATTTTGTGGGTCAGCTTTTTGGGCTGAACTCAGTTGACAGTTCTTTTAGCTGATTGTGCTCATCATGCGTCTACTACCAGTTTTCTAGGTAAACTTTTGGGGAGTTGGCTGGTTGTCAGCTGGAGCAA